TAGGGGTTCTGGGTTTAGGGTTTAGGTACTGCCGCACTTTGAACTCGCGATCTTCGATCCAATCATGATTGCATGAGCCGTCCTGCTTGTCTCTCCATGCGGGAAAATTGGTTGCATCGCTGTCGAGCCCGTATTGTAGAACCCCGCTTATAGAACCCCAAATTCTAGCCTTCCTAGATCATGATGTGACGTCCTTCCGAGTCCTCGGGGATGAATCCTGCCCGTTCCTCCGAAGGGCCGCCGTCGACGAAAGCGGTCTTCTTTGAATTTGTTTCAAATCTTTGGGGCTCTTTAAGTAAGGATGCCGTTTTTAGGGGGCACCCCGAAAGAAAGCTTATCGAAGCTCATACTGTTTCAGAATCCCCTCGACCCCACGGCGGGCCTTGTTCTAGGTGGAAGCTGGCGGCTGCACCGGCGACTGGGATGTCGTCATCCACCTGAACATGTCGGGACCTTCGACCTCAATTGCTGACATCAAAGGAGATCCTCACCTCCGTTGTCATCGCGGGATCCCATAAGGTAATGCTTTAGGGCTGCTTTCAGGGTTTCACCGCGTGAATATAAGGATTGCTAACGATTTCGAGAAGAAATTACTGTAAGGTCACTATACCGGGACTACACAGGGTACAGTATAAGGCTGCTGTGCGAGTACCTTGCAGGGAAGCGCAGCTTCCAGGCGGTCCAGCTGCAGCGTACGCGCTAAAACTACAACCCCAACCCTTAACCCTGAATCCTAAGCCCTAAACGCAACCAAAGGATAAGTGCTATCGGAAGCCTGAGCCATGGGTTTTTGGTTTAAGGCTCCGAGCCCCGAGCCCCCCTGCACGCAGAGTCGGCGTCGGATGTGACTTTGTGTGGCGTGGCGCCTAAAATCCCAGGAGCTCGGAACCACGAGCTATGAGCTTCGGAGTTTGACTATTTCCATGAATAGCATTCTGAATATTATTCTCACTATTGCCATCACGATGACTCTTCTTGTTATGAGTATTTTCATACCGATGTGATTATGAGTTGGAGGCTCGAGGGCTGCACTGAGAGAGGAGCCGCAGACATCAACGTGAAGCTGATCCCAGAGGCTGGATCTCTACTTCTAGCCGTTACAGTGCCGTGCTACGTTGAGGAGTCTGGGGTGCCCTGCATGCTGTTGCTCCTGAATGGCTTGGTTTAGGGTTTAGGGTT